AGATCTGTCGTCACATTTACACATAGGCCTATTACTAATAGCATTGAGTCTACATTTATCTATATGACCCCTCACTAGTCGGATTAGAGTACGAGTAAAAATACCCTAACCCCAAAACAATTGCAACAAAAAGGTTCTTCAACGGTTTCCATTAGTGGAATAACATTACAAAATCTAAGAAATTAGGAACCCCGGAAAAAGGTTATTTTCGAAATGGCGTCCAATATGGCCACCAATACCTTAAATTGTCAATATATTATGTATTATCAATCTCATCGATGTGTTTTGGAGCTTATGCCTAAGTCTTGGGGTAGAATAATTCATTTTCCTACTTTCAATTGGTTACGGCCACCAAGACATGTGGAAATCGAAAATGACAACATAATCCATAAAATTCACAAAGAGAGTGACCAATCATATAACAAATAATGTCTGTTGTCATTTCTTAAAATCTGAGTTTATACATATACATATATAATTTATAACTTTGGTAGCCTAAGGTAGTTTAAGAATGGCATCCAAACTTTGCTAGCCTAATGTTTCAAGATAGGAAAAAAGATTCCATCTTGAAACATCACATCTTGAAACATTTTCCCATGTTAATTTTAACACGGAAAATTCTTATCAATAATTTTTGATGTTCAGTTTGTAGAGTGATCGATGAACACAGAGAAAATGAATAAATAGATGTGACATTGGGTGGTGTTCTTAAGAGCGGATTGTGTCCATGTGAATATAATTTTGAGTAATTTGATCTGTCCCTAAATTACCACGATAACATAATGATATCATAGTTATATTGTTGTTTATTAATTATGTTATCACATTTTATTTTAATTTAGTGACATATTAAATTATTCAGAAATATATTCATATAGACACTTGGCATTGCATACTTAGTCGATGGATTGAACCATGGACTTAAGTTAGTCCGCTTTCGAAAATACCACCCAATATTCCTTAAAACATACATAAAAGAACTGAGAAGGTAATATATTATCTAAAGCACATTTCCTTAATATTTGGTTCTATGATAATATTTTTTAAAATCTTTTTCTAAAATTATGATGTACTTAATCCGTTACCAATGTACAATTCGTAATAGCCATACACTGTAAAAAAGAATTTGTTCATCGGTAATTTTTACGTATTTTTTCCATGTAGAATTTACTTGAAAACATTAGTTTTGCCACTTACGCACTAAATTTAAGTCTTGCTAACTCAAACTTTCAATTTAGTAGAACATACGTGGAATATTTAAGTAAAATCAAATACATAAGAACTTTAAGTAATTTCAGCTTGTATTAATTTAGTAATTTTAACTCAAAATCAGAAATTATACGTATTACTCAAACAATTTATGTTGATTATTCTTATCTTTCCAAAGTAAGGACCGATGCAGTGCGTAATAGAAATATTTACATAATTTATGAATATTCATTAAGACCAAATTAAACTCTTTTTTAAATAAAACAATTCTTTTTTGTGGTTGAATGAAAATTTAAGGACTTTAAAACATTTACTAATTCATTTAACATGGCTAAGCAAAGACAAGACAATTTTTAATTGTTACCCAGTTCAAAACAAATCAAAACTTGATATTTCAGGAAATTGTCAACCAATTTTCCCTTTAAGATGCTACGATCAAGTATATATAAAATTTGGAGCCTATCAATATGTGTCGAATTGAAGCGTATTTTAAAATTATCAATTATCAATATGTGTCGAATTGAAGCGTATTTTAAAATTTTAAGGACTTTAAAACATTTACTAATTCATTTAACATGGCTAAGCAAAGACAAGACAATTTTTAATTGTTACCCAGTTCAAAACAAATCAAAACTTGATATTTCAGGAAATTGTCAACCAATTTTCCTTTTAAGATGCTACGATCAAGTATATATAAAATTTGGAGCCTATCAATATATGTCGAATTGAAGCGTATGTAATAGTTTGTGATGGTGGTAGATACATATATACGGTTAAGTCTTAAATAGAAGTAGTGTTAGTGATTAGTGATTAATCTTAAATAGAAGTAGTGAATGATTAGTGGATGTTACTTGTTAGATTAGATGGGTACCAAATCGTGCAATATGTAATCCTATCATAGCTTTTTTTTTCATTATCTAAAATGATTACAATACTTAAATTATTTACGTTAATGTAACTCTATTTAACTGAGTAAAAATTTATTCAGCAAAATAAGTAAATTCTACTTAAGATGCCGTATGTAATTTTTACTTAATAAAAATAAGGCAATTATTTTCCTCAATTTTATTGAGTTATTTCGACTATTATTTTTTTCCAGTGTAGTTGCCACACCCACCACCAACTTTAGTGTAGACAATAACATTCTAATAGCTAAATGTCCTAACAGAAATACTCATTTAAAGATTGTGTCACTAATACCTGTGAGAATTGCCTTATAAGGCACAAACAGGCACTGTAGATGTAAATGTTCACAGTGTTTCCCACTCAAAATGCGCATCATGTTGAAAAGGGCATCAACTCATTTGGGATAGCATAAAATGACTTATCCATCAAAATTATCTGATCATTTCTTTTGTGTGTTTGTAGCACGACAACATATATTATATGTTTAATTTATAAAACGTGTTTCATTGGACAGCTTAATGGATAATTTAAATTGTAGAATAACACCATGTTCTGAGTAAATCACATTTTTATGTTTCATCACGCCATACATTTTGTGTGTAATATCTAACTTTCAAATGTGTATCAAAAAGGTTTGCTACTTCAAACTCATGTTATTAATTGAAAGTTCTTTCTCAGATAATACATATTTGGTCAAAAAATTAAATCTCTTGGTTATTTTTGCAAAAGTTTTAGCATGGATGCCATGCATTACACCCAAACTGCCGTAAACAAAGCTATTGGGGTTTCCGCACAATTATAACGCGTATTGGCTATGTGCCTATGTCGTCATTTTTTGCAGAACGCCTTTTTTTCTCGTTTTCGTTCTTTGTTTAGGTGCTCTGTCGCGTAGCGTAGCAGAGCACAGGGACGGATCCAGGGGCGGGGGTCGGGACTTGAGCCCCCTCCCCTGCCCCCCAAAATAGGTGTAACAAAAAGATGGTAATGTTTAAATTTACCTTAAAAACAAAAATAAATTGTTTTTCTTTTGCTCAAAGGGAGGAGGGGGTTGTTGTTGAGTAATAACAAAAAATAAAGCTCCATACCCCCCCCCCCTTGATTCCCCTTAAAAACAAAAACAAAAAATTAGTGCTCACTACACCCCTCCCCTCCCCGCTTATTCGGGCCGGCTGGATCCGCCCCTGGCAGAGCATCTATTCATTTCGTCAGAATCTATCTTTTTCTCCACCTATTCTTTCTGCATGGATTTAGTTTGCGTCATATCTGATGAATGGCATGATAAATGACAATGACATTTTCATGGCACGTGCAATATACAATTGATTATTATCCCAAACGAAGAGATTCAAAATGGCTGGTACAATACAAGGGGAAAACCTGCTGATGTGCTCCACGTACACTGCAAGGTACTAGGTTTCTCAATAATTGATCGCGTCTTTTATCCAAGAGCAGTTGTGATTTGGGACTTTTCGATTTGCATGACGAGAACTGTTAGTGACTGCCAGTGCCTTAAAAGGAAGCCACACATCCACGTCCACGCAAATCGAAAACTCCCTATTGTAAAGGTTTTTAGGACATGCTGCATAGGCAGTATATTACCAAATGTCGTCTAGTATTTTTGTTGATGTTCATGCATTCCATGTATATGTTTGCGCATGATTTCTACAAAGGAAGTGTCAAGATTTATTGTAGCGTTCCTTGCACATTTGTGTAGAGCTGCAAGTTTTGTTTCCTTGTTTAAATACTTGTTTCAAATGCCTTCACATGAATCGAGGGGAATACATTGTATGTCCTTAGATGTTTAACGCGTGAACAAGGTTAGTATGTGTATTTCTGTTATCGTCAATGGTGTTTTTGCTGCGAACGTACACGAGTTTGCAATATGCGCCTTGTGATGGTGGTGGTGATGGATGATAACGTAATGCAATCTCATTGATTCTGCATAGGCTTGACAGTTATTTAGTTATGTATAGGTTGTGCATCTTTACCATCATCATCATCATCATCATCATCATCATCATAATAGTAATGATAATAACAATGATAATGATAATGATAATAATAATAATCACGTTTGTACAGCGCTTACTATTCCGTTTCTGAGCGCTTTACATCGTAATTATTAAAAACCAAGTCATTGGGTTCAATTGCTAATTCGCACATGATTATGATCACGCTTCGCTCCGTGGAGAGTATTCCGGCCAGGCGTCGTATTGACAAGCGCATACAAGCCAACCCAACCATCCTAATGGTACCCATTTTACACATGCAGTGGCAAAGGAAGATTAATGTCCTGCAAAAGGACATCCGTACAATACTGCTGCAGTAGTATATATGGTAAAGCCATATTCAATAAATGATAGTGCACCCATTTGCTTGACATAAAATGAATTGACTGGGTTTATTGAGTAAAATTCAAGCTCTCATCTAAAGGCCCGATATGTCTTGAATTTACAACATAATAAAAATACAAACATAAAACTGTTTGTAATAGTAGGAAGTTAATAGGAAAACAATTAGTAGTGAAATTGATACGATGATAAAGCATAATCATAAAAGCCATGATAAGAATGATGACAACAAAAAATATTATTCGATCATCATCACGTCAACATCATCATCACCATAAGTAGCAGCAGCAGTAGCAGGATTGTAAATAGCATAATTGGCCACCACCAATTTACTTCCATTATATTGATGTAAGGAATTAAGCTTAAAATCATCACTTATTTTTCCAACCGTTTTACATATATGATGATGAACATTTTTGTTTCTCTTCCACCGTTCCACGCGTAATATAAAAGAAAATCACACTGTTAATAAATTACGGAATTGTCATCTTGTTATCGATTTTAAATGTTATTTTTTGTCTTATCTACAGATGATCCGAGTGATACTTATAACCTCCTTGATGGTGCTCATCCACGGGATGGAAGGCGCTATCGATGTCTGCCTTTCATACGGGAATTACGAATGCAACCAATCTCCACCCGTGTTCGGAGTTCCACTACCATCATTTTGTAACAGTAGGTTAATATAATATTTTTCATCAAAACTTTGGTACAATTCCTCGAGTCGAAGGAAAACTCGACCGTTTTATCAAGTTGGAATTTTGAAGAAAAAAAGAGAGAAAGAGATTACGTCAAATTTGATGAAATTCTGACAAAGAATGATATGTATATGTAGTGATGTTCTTTATGTTTCAAGCTCACGCCACACATTGGCAACCTCCGTCATTCAAAGTTCCATAACCAGCAGTTTCTAACGGTATATCTTTCATCATGCGTTCTAAAACTTTGGTCATATTGCTTGAGTCGAGGGTAACCTCAACCGTTATCATAAAGTTGAAACTAAAAAACGCGAGAAACGGATAACTGCAAATTTGATTAAATATCGTCCAAAATAATATATATTTGTAATCATGATCTTTATGTTTAACGCTTTGATAAAATTTGAGAAAAAGATGTCGCCTCGGATCCATTCTATAATTCAAATTGAGTATCCGAACATTCAGATACAATAACAGGCCACCAAACTCACCTTCTGTATAATGTGCATTTATGTGCAAAATTCAGTTACTTTTTTGTTAATAGCGAAGTAAATAGATCTGGTGACTCCAGTCGTTCCTGAAAGTACGCGCTACATAAGCTGTTCCCGTCAGGCATTTTCATTTATAGGTGAACAATTGGATAAATCGTGCATTCAATTTAATTAATTGATTTTTTCCATTTGTTTTCATTCGGTTCTAATATTGAGCCCTGTTGAACTACACATCTATTGTTTTCTTGCTGTGATGGTGGTGTTAGTGGTATGATAATAAAACATAATAATAGTACAAGACACGTATCTACATAAATATGAACGTACATATTTTCTTGCAAAAGAAAAGCAAACCAAAGATAAAATAGGTTACTGATCGAGTTCCTATTATCTGTTTAACATTTGGAAAAGGTGTGCTTTAAGGCCCGGTCACACAGAGGGGACGGGGACGCATGGGGGACGCACGGCCGGCGCATGGAAAATTTGCAATTTTGGCCAGTGCGTTGTCGTGCGCCCAACTTTTGTCGAAGCTATACAGCTAGCTGACACCAAATGCATAGCGCGCTGGACGCATACAGGGCATATACAGGGCGCACACAGGGCGCACACAGAGCGCACATGAAAACAACTTCCACGAATGCACAGCGTGTTGCTAGCGCGCTGGACGAATGGTCCATGCATGCACCGCGTTCTACGACGCACGGCCAGCGCATTGGAAATCGGAAAAGAACGTGTGCCTAACTTTTGTCATAATTTTGGAAAAGCTAGCGAGCTGACACAAAATGCACGGCGTGTAGCTAGCGCGCTGTGCGTATACAGGGCGTGTGCTCCGCGTTTGTCTGGCGCTGGTCTAGCGCGCTCCACGCATGTCTGGCGCTGGTCTAGCGCGCTCCGGCGCATGTCTGGCGTGCCTTTGGCGTGTATATTCATGCGTCGAGCTCGGCGCACGTTTTTGAGCATGCTCAAAAAATCCCGACGCACACAGCGAATGACGACGCATGCATAGCGCTGGTCCAGCGTTGGTCCAGCGCGCTCGACGAACGAGTAACGAATGATGACGCACTCCTAGCGAACGACAACGCACTGGCCCAAATTGCAAATTTCCAATGCGCTGGCCGTGCGTTCCCCATGCGTCCTCCCTGTGTGACCGGGCCTTTAAGGGCAGACTTAAAGTTGTCAATTGTCTTGATGTTTTCCATAAAACGTGGGCAGCATGGGCAAAAAAAGCTTCACCATATGTTTTGTTCAGACTAGGAAGGTCAGTAAACAATTTTTTTAAAAACATGAATGAAGATCTCTCGTTGGTCAGTCAGAAATTCATTGAAATAAGAAGGAGTTAGTCCATTAAGCATCCATTAGCTAATAAGCATGATAACAGTATCTTGAACTTGATGCGGGACCAATGTTTTTTTTCTCTTTACCTCTTCAGAGGGACTTAATTGTTCCATTTCAAAATACATATATATTATTTACAAAACAAGTAAAATGAAACATGAATTATATACATGATCAACATAATATCTTAAAATGATCATTTTAACATTTAAAATACTTTCTTAACTTCCTCAATATCGAAGTATTTTATATTTTCTTTGTATTTCAAATAACATTTTAATGATGAAATAAAATTATTTATTAACCTCTTTGGATTGGTTGGTACTTCTCCAAAGTTCCGCTTTACGTAGTCTTTGTATATAACCAGTTGAGCATAATTTATCCAAAATTAAGTAAAGTAAATTTTCTGTTATCTATTTTATATCCAATCAATAACATTTTCATATCAATTTCAATTTCTATTTTAAAAATGAAATATATAATTCTTGAGATAATTTTCCAGAAAACTCTTAATTTCTTGCAACAAAATATAAAATGTTCAATAGTTTCTTTTTCATGACAAATTTCACATTCGTTAGACTGTACGATTTTCCATATAAAGAGATTGTCTTTAGATGGCAATATTCTATGAATTAATTTAAAATTATATTGTTTGATCTTATTGTCTCTTATGTTATTAAATTTGAACTGGAATACATCTTTCCAAACAAATGTTTCTGGTAGGCCTAAAATATTTTGCCAAAAATGGAAACCAATTTTCTCTTTTTTCTTTTCTAGCATTAAATTATAATAACTTTTCGCCGTAGTAAATTCAACGTTTATAACATCTAAAGTTGTCTCAATGTACATTGTTTCATTAAGACTTGAAGCTTTGTTTAAACGTAAATTTTGTGACCAATATTTTGGGAATGCTTTTTTTAATTTTGACATTTTAAATAAAAACAACAGATTCTTTACATCAAAATGGTTATTGAATAGAGAGTTATCTCTATTCCTTTTGTATCCACGACGGGAAATACAGAGGGTTATTATCAATTACAATATTACTATTATTCCAAAGTATTTCATTGGGAATATCTTTTACTTCAAATTTATTTACATATCGAATTTCTGACCATGTGCAAAGCAAATCCATATAAAACATTGGTAAATTTCTCTTTTTACATATCATTTTCATTTGTTTAATATGACAATTATACTGTAAACATAACGGCACCCCACCAACTCTTTCAGTCCAAAATGAAAATAATGTCTTCCACATTGCATCATCTGCATTAAAAAACTTATATATCCAAGATAATCTAAGTGAATTAGCTTTCAAAATCAAATCAACCATACCAAGCCCCCTTCTCTTTCTGACTTGATACAAACATTCCGTTTTACTTTTTCACGTTTAGAATTCCATATAAATATATATATAGTCCTATGTAAAGCCTTGCATATATGGATAGGCATTGAGACAGCTGTGCCTAAATAGACGAGCTGAGGAATTATCAAACATTTTATAATTATTATTTTTCCATAACAGGTCAGTCGTCTCATTTTCCACGTCTTAAGAATATTATTGATTTTTTCAACTTTTCCCTCCCAATTCAAACTGCTAACATATTTATCATTTTTACCAACGTAAACACCTAAATGTTTTATTGGTTCTTCTGTAAATTCAATATCATATTTTGTCATATCTAATTCTTTCATTTTCATTACTTTCGTTTTATTCCAATTAATCTTTGGGCCTGCAAAATATTCAAAATCGTCTAACTCTTTCATAACATTATTTACTGATTCCATTGAATTAACAAATAATGTGGTATCATCTGCGAATTGTGTTATCTTTACTTCGCTAACCCTCTGAACTTCTTTATCTTTGGTTGTAATATTTATCCCTCTTATTGTATCGTTTTCTCGAATTTTATTTGCTAATATTTCTGCCACTAATACAAATAATGAAGCTGATACTGGGCAGCCTTGGCGAACGCCCTTTTGAATATAAAAAGTTTCAGATAACCACCCATGCTGTGCCACCCTACCATGGGCATTTGTGTATAAAGCTTTTATCCATCTTATAAAGGAAACGTTAAAATTCATACGTTTCAATGTCTCAATAAGAAATGAGTGATTTACATTATCAAACGCCTTTTTGAAATCTAAAAATAAAATGATACCGTCAATATTTGCCAATTTACAATAATCAATAACATCTTGTACAAGTCTTATGTTTTCACTTGCAATTCTACCCTTTACGAAACCTCTCTGATCGGCTGATATTATAGACCAGTTCACGGTTAGCACATTACTGCAATGACCCCGAATATCCACAGATCTTTAAAACATGAAGAGGTCCCACTTTGTACATATTTAAATAATCTCTCCTATAGCGATGGAGGTGCTACATGAATAGCCTTTGTTCCCCTTTTTCAAAGAATACTTCCACCTGTGTATCATGGAGTGCATAAATGAATAATGATTACATAACTTTCATGAGCACGTATCCAGTATTTCGTCTCCGTGTATTTAAAAATTTGTTCTGCAATGACCTCTGTCTGCTCATGCTCAGACTGCAACCGTGAACTGGCTTATACTTGGCATATTTGGTTGTAGCCGTATTGACAAAACACGTGCTGCAATTTTATAGTCTATATTAAGGAGAGAAATCGGTCGCCAATTATCAAGAGAACCCTTGTTGCCCTTTTTATACAAAAGATTAAGAATAGATTGACCTTGTGTGAACGAGAGCCCTTGCCTCTCATACCCTTCATTTAAACTATTTATCACCATGTCCTTTATCTGTTCCCACAAACATTTATAGAATTGAACACTTAGACCGTCACTCCCAGGTGACTTATTTAAATTCATAGTAGACAATGCTTTCCAGACTTTCCAGCTTTTTAACAGACCATCACAGCTCTCGGCTTCCTCTTCTGTTAAACATTTCATGTTTACATTTCTGAAATATTCATCATAATTTGCTCCACTTTCTTCTGTCTTACTATACATCATCTTATAAAATTGTTGAATCTCTTTTAAAATATCTTCACTGTTCACAATTCTGTTACCATCTTTCTCTATATAATGTAACTCTTTCTTTTTTCCTCTTTGTTTCTCAAGCTGTAAAAAATACTTTGTACATTTTCACCCTGTTCTAGCCATT